ATAAATTTAAGGAGTTATTAGGTTTTGTATGTACTCCTATTGTCTTCTTTCACATTGCGGATATCGAAGTAATTCACAGAGGTTTATTATTTTTTAAATCGACTAGTACTCGAACATTTTTAGGCGCTGATTCTAAAGTCGCGTACAGACCGAGATTCCAATGCAAGCCAAGGCACATGTGGTTACAGATTTGGAGGTGTTCGAGTCGGTGTGTACGGCGCGAGCCGACATAAACCAACGGTTTCCAAGGTACCGTTGGCGTTCGCGTTGGCCTCTTATTGGTCAATTCGCCATTAAATTTCAAGCGGTCGCCTGGCGGAATAATGCGCGGGGCAGGGGCAGGGCAGGCAGAGTTGCATTCAGGCCACTGACCGTCGCGTGTATCACTGCGTGATCGTGTTTTCGTATTCACCTTACTTTGTTGTTGCTGTTGTTGTTGTTAAGTGTATTTGAGTAATTTGTTCAGTTTCTGTTTGTTATTGTTATTCCTCGTTATTATTTGTTTAGAACCAATCCTGAACATGTCCAGTACAGATACTGCTGTCGAGGCTGTAGGCTACTCCCTTAGCCCTCCTAGAAAGCGATAAAAAAAGAAAAGACATCTTAGCGTAGACATGACAGACGTCATATTGAATACATTCAAGATAGAGCGGAAGGAAGACGAAACATCAACTAACCCGAAAATAGCTTCGAAAGTGGCAGATAAAATTAGGGTATACCAAGCGACAGTGTACAATGTTTTGAAAGAACAAAAGAAGCCTTTTTCCAAGCCAATGACGGTTAAAAATCGCAAAAGTATCATAAGATCGTTGGATGACGCTGACGAGCATGCGATTCGGAGGAAAGTGCACGAGTTCTTCTTCAGAAACAAAATACCGACAGTTGATAAAGTACTACGGGAGGTTAACGAGCATGCTATGTTACCAAATTTCAGACGTTCGACTATTCATAAACTCTTGAAGCATCTTAATTTCGAATGGAAGAAACGACGTCGTAACAGCTTACTTATGGATAGAGAAGAAATTGTTCTGTGGAGGAGAGAGTACCTGACCAAAATTAAATCATTCAGGGATCAGCACAGGAAGATCTATTACCTAGGTGAAACCTGGATTAACGCTGGGCACACTACTCCGAAGGTATGGGTTGACAAAACTGTGACTTCATCCAGAAGGGATTGAAAAATCCAGCAGGTAAATAGATCGAAGTAGTTCACGGTATCAATTATTGCGCACAATATCTCTCTATCTTCATACCTACAAGACGTGCATGTGTACTTAGCGGATCTTATCTCTCTAGGCAAAGGAGAAAGGCTTATTATTGGGGGTGTAGATGGCTTCGTGGAGGACGGCTTATGGTCTTTTGAGTCAAAAAAAAAACACTGACTACCATGAAGAGATGAATGGGGAAGCATTCGAGAAGTGGTTGTTTTGGATAATGCTCCCTATCATTCTCGCAAAATAGAAAAAATCCCAACTTCAGCTTCTAGGGAATCAGTCATTCAGAGCTGGCTCCGTTCCAAAAATATAACTTTCGACCCTTCCTTACTGAAATTACAACTATTAGATATTGTGAAACAACACAGACCAAGACATGATAAATATGTCATAGATGAAATGGCCAAAGCACACCACAAAACAGTACTCCGTTTGCCGCCTTACCACTGTGAGCAAAAGATGGCAAAAATGTGTGCAGCATGTTCAGGAGAAAGTGGAGGTAGCAATGTGGGAGCTGGACAACATAATTGAGAGATATTTTGAATCCATCATCATAAACATTAATGACTCTTCAAGTGAGTCTGAGTAAGTTTCGCGTTTTTGTTTTGTCACAGAATACATATTATGGGAATCCAGGTTATAGTGAAATATTAACTTACAGATAAACTGCAGACAATGCAAGTCCGAAGTGCACCTTCAAAATCTATTTTCAATTAATTGAACAGCCTTATATTTATTCCATGTACAAAAGTGTCATCTCTACCCCTCGTTGACTACAGATTCATTGTGCATAGTGAGCAGCTGGTTACCTCTGGTATGTATTTCTCCATGTTGTCTAGTTTGAAAAATCTGTAGAAAAACTTAGCACTCCTTCAAGAATAAAAATTTGATTTTGCGTCACCCTTAACTATAACTACTTCACTATATTAGATAATTTCGTTAAAGACTGTCATCTTTGTTTTACAACACGTTGGTGGTAGTCCATCATTCGAAGGTAGCCCTGAATGCGGCCCTGTACGCCCTCCTTGCTTTTGGCAATCACGCATCCATTCTATCTTGGGTGTAAATTCACTATAGTCCACTCGTCACTCGACCTTAGCCGACGCGGTCCAACTCGAAACTAAATCTAGGTGTAGACGATATGTAGACGAGCGCATTTCAATACCTTCCAACAAACGCCAACGTCACATGTGTTTGCATTAGTTTGCTCGGCGTTGGATTTTCGGTCTGTATGCGGCTTTATAAGAAACATCGTAACATTTTACAGCTTTGACTCATTTTTGTTCCCATTTACCAAGAAATGTACATCGTATAACTGATCCAAATTTAGCATGCAGTAGCTCATCTGAAAATTACTACTATAATTTCTTTCTTTCGTACCAACTGAGGCAACTTCGCATTGAAAAACACATGCTTCGAGGATTCTTGTGTACCTGCAATTTGAACTGAAGTCCGTCTGTTAGGTAAATTGTGTCCTAATATCGTGGCCTTTTTCAAGTAAACTTGACAATTCTGCTTAGTAACGTAGTCAGTTAACAGCGGCCAGTCAAACATGCAACTTGTTAGATCTTTGTAATTTCATCGATATCTCAATGGTTCATTTTCTTGCTCTATTTAGGGCTTCAGGACACTTTGGTATTTTTTTGACGTCCAATATTACCCAAGTGTACCAAGTTTTGCTGATATGTTGGCACCTGAATGAATATTGAGATAGTGCGTTACGTACTTACTTTCAAAGTTTGCAGGCATTTCTGTAAGTAACGTTTTAATTTCTTGAGCATCTTCTATAGTTTCTTATGTATTCCGGAAGAGGCCATATTTTATTTTCACTCCAAGTAGAGCTTGGCGGTGTTTTAGGACTCTCTAATACAGGGTTTCTCAACCTGTTTTTTTTTTAGGCTCCCTGGACTATACATTATATTTTCACGCCCCCCTTTACTTTTTCAATAAATACAAAAAAACGCACATTATGTAGGTACAAAAACTTTTATTTTAATTCTAATAAAGAAACTTTAAAAGTTTAAATAAACCAATAAATGTTTTTTATCGAAAAACTTGAATAAAATAAGAGTAGGTACTAATGAGACACTTGAGATTGCATGTTCTGTACCAGTTGGTTGATTCTAGGTTTTGTTTTTAAAACTAGAGCAGAAAAGCCTGTCTCACATAAGTAAGTTAAAGAAAATGGAACTAGTAGTCGTAAAGCAAGAGAGGCAAGTGTCGAATTACCAGGCAATCTTTTGATCCAAAATTTCTCCAATGTTAAAAGATGGAAGTCATCTTTCATGGACGAATCAGCCTTCATTTCTAGAAATTCTTCCTGGACTTCTTCTGGTAATTGTGACACATCGACAACATATGGATTTCTTGTCACGTGCCATATTGGTGACTCTGAATTGATGCCTCGATAGTATCGGCGAAATTCGTCTTAAAGCGCTTGCAAATGAGTTTTTGTGTCAGCGTCCAGTATGTTATTTTTAATTGCTTCAAACAGCCAAGAAGAAGATATCACATTTTCATAAGACACTTTTTGATTCCCAAGTTGAAGCTTTGGTATGAACCCCTGAATATAATCATAATTGCTTATTATAGTGTTGTTCCTGCCCTGAAGTTTCAGGTTTAGCTCATTCAAGGAGTCCAATATGTCTGTTAAATAAACCAACCTCCATTGAAATGTGTCATCGCTGAGCATTGTCAGGAAATCGTGTTTTTCTTTGAACTCAAGAAAAAGAATTACCTCATCTTTCACTTCATAAAGGCGAGCCAACATGTTGCCTTTGAACAGTCAGCGTTCTTCTGTATGGAACAGAAGAACTTTGTGATCAGAATCGAGATCTTCGCAAAGTAAATAACCGACTGTTCAAAACACTGCTCTTGATGTAGTTTACAATCCTTATAGCAGAGTCCAAAGTCTGGCGTACTTTCTCTGGCAATGTTTTGGAAGCCAAGGCTTGCCGATGAATAACACATTGTGTACTAACCATTGCGGGATTTTTTTTCCTTGAGCTTTTTAGCTAAGCTCGAACGTACATTGCAGGTGCGCCATCTGTGCAAACTCCAATGAGCTTCTTCCAATCCAAATCATTTTTTTCACCAAAATTTGATATTGGATTAAACATATCTTCGGATGTAGTACCTGCTGTCAAAGATTGCGAGTACAAAATCTCTTCTTAAATGATATATCTGCCGATGTAACGAACATAACCTATTAACTGTGCACAATTAACGATGTCGGTGGATTCATCGCGACTAATGGCGAAAAATGGCGACAATTTTAGTTTGTTAATTATTTGTGACTTTATGGTCCGGTTTTTCAATCGCAGGTTAACTTGACCTTGATCTTAACTTATAGTTATTTAAGAAAAAGCGTTTTTCAATACCATGTTTATAGTAAAACGGAAGTTAACTTTAACCAGAAGTCTATCTATGAGTTAACTAGAAAGGCTGTAGTTAAATAGCAACACCTGACGTTTTTTGACATAAACTTTGACGTTTATTCAAAAAATCACAACAAATCCATACCAATCTATCGAATAAACATGTTTATGGATTACGACGTGAATGCGTATATAGCAGTGACGAAGACGCGAGAAGGCCAAAAATAATCCGCCATCGGTCGAATTACTTTGATGAATTTGATGACCTCGATTTCCTTGCAAGATTTCGTCTTACAAAAAGAACTGTAGAAACTCTCCTGGACGAAGTCTATGAAGATTTAGTATATCCTACAAGCAGGTAGATGTATACATATATTGTTGTTTATTTCCATATTTTTACATGACTTTGTCATTCCAGGAATAACTGCTTAACGCCCCAACAGCAGCTGTTGTTAGCACTGCGCAATGGAAGTTTTTTAACTGTTACTGGGGTTTCCAAATCAACTGCATCCAAAACAGTCCGAAGATTCTTAAAAGTACTAACGAGTAAAAGAAGTAATTACATAATAATGCCGGACACTCTCGAGGCTCTTGCCAGGGCAAAGCAATCCTTTTATAAATGACATAGCTAGGTTTCCTCGATGCATAGGTGCAATTGAGTGCCCTCATATAAAGATTGTTTCTCCCGGAAGAAGCCATGCAGAGCTCTTCAGAAATCGAAAGCAGTTTTTTTCACTGAACTGTTTCTGACGCAGATTCATACATTTTCGGAAATTCTCAGTTCTGCAGACAATTTGAATCAGGTCACTTTAGAAACTCTTTGTAGGCTGGTGACAAATGTTATCCTATTAAACGCCATTTGATGACACCATTAAATACAACTACAACTCCTACTGAAGAATTATACAATGAATCTATCATTCGTAGTCGCAATGTTATAGAGAGAAGCTAAAAGAAGATTTCCCAGCAGTTACTCTAGGAACAGCAGTGCTACATAATATTGCTTGTCCTAATAATGAAGCTATGAATCTTATTAGTCCTGAACAGGAAAATGCTATTAACATGGTTCATGAAGATAATGTGAAGACAGATCCTGTAAATATTAGGTTGCCACAAAATGCAATCAACAATGTTAGAACTTACCTTATTAATAATTATTTTGCAACTTTGTAAATCGATTCAATTCATTCACTGATGCTCAGTGAATGACTCGATACTAGATGAAAGTTGTTTAGTATAAGATCTGTGATAATCCATGGCAAGTGGATGAGTTGTGGCCAAAATTGTTGTTGCCCAAAAAAAGCACACGGCATTTGAAAATAGATGTCCCAACCCTCAAAATGGTCACTCAGTCGATCTTTTTGGATACCTAAAGTTTTCGCCATAGCTCTCATCTACTTGACATATGAATTATCCCCTATTTATTGTAACTACAGAATGAAAATAAACATGATTTTCTGAAAACAGTTTATTATTAAACTAACATACTATCCTCAAAAATGCGAAATACAAAAAAAAATGAGTGAAAGTGAAATTATTCCAGTAACAAAATAAATCCAATGCATGGATCTGTAAATCTAACAGCTGAACCTTTTTTTTTTATATATTTCCATTTTTTTGTGTTTGTGTTTGTGTTCTTCGATGAATTTTTCTTTTTGTAGTTTCAAAAAATTCAGCTTTTCTTCCATTAGTAGATAGTTAACAGAAATATATTTTTTATTTTGTACCGTTTTTGTACATGATAGCTTTGTAGTTTTGGGCCTCTTCAGTTGTTGGGGAGTATAGGAGCTCCATTCCCCATTATTGAAGACCACTTCACTGTCATCACAGTTATTTGCATCATGAACTAAAAAATTAATAATTAAAAAAAATGCTTTAATAAACAGCAGTGAGACTTACCATGTTCATTAACCACCTCTTCTTGGTCACTACAGTGATCATCATTATTTCTTGTAATTGTGTATCAATCAGATCGAATGCTTGCAATTGGCATGAACCTCCCCATGTCTTGATTATATTGCTTTTGTTTGTAGCAAATTTGCTTTTTGTTTTTTTCTTTAAATTGAAATATTTATCTCGTAGAGTTTTTGCCTCTCGGTGGCACCCTGTTAGGGCTTGCAATTCTTGTTCGATGCTCTGCCATACTGAACTTTTCTGTTTCCACGTAACTGTGCCACTTGTTTTGCTCTCTATTACATCTTTATTTTTGCTCACCAATGATATTAGCATCATTTCCTCATTCTTCGAGAAATTTTGAGCTCTCTTTTTGATCTCTTTCTCCATGCTAGGAAACAGTTTTTGAGAAATTTTAGCAACAAGAATAGAGGTATTGTGTATCCCCTTTATTTTTGGATTGTAGATTATAGGAGTGATGTTTAAAAAGATGGAAAATACGATATTCAGCAGATATTTCCAACTTAATCGTTTTTTGACCTTAGTATGGTTCATTAGACATTGCATTTGCAACCTTTTTTATCACCATTTCTATAATGCCGTCTATAGGGTCTACTACTAAACATTTGTACGAGCAATGTTTGAAAAAACTTACCTTGCTTGACGAAGATTTTATGTTTTATTCGTTTTTAATGAAATTTTCGGAATTCGATTTTGGCTGTTTTAAGAAATTTTAATTCAATCGAACTGTCATGTATGACGTATGACACGGGACATAGATGCCGAGCGCACAAAACGCATAAAACACGATATCTAAGAACCGCCGATACAGGGCTGTGACATAAATATATGTTGAACTTCTGGTAAGTTAACTGACGCTGTCAAAATACTTGAAAAACGCATTTGCAAGTAACCACAAGTTAACTTCCTGGCGATTGTTAACTAACTAAAAGGTTAACTTGCGATTGAAAAACCGGGCCTATGTCTGCTGCAATGTCATCGATTCTACGCTTGTCTGTGTTATTCGAAAGAGAAATAGACTTCATTTTTTGCTCTGCATCTTTTCCTAGAATTATCTGCGTGGCTTTTAGGACACATGGTTTTATTAATTCTTCACCGATAGTATGTGGCTTCTTTTGCTTTGCTATCGTAAAAGGTATTTCAAATGAAACTTTGAGAAGCTGCGATACAACTGTGTGGTAATTTCCCCATTTTTCCAGTATCATGCGCTTGAGTGATGCTGCTTTAGAAGAAAAATACTCTTTCGTCTTCAAAACCAGAGTAGGATGCTGTTGCTTCAAATGCATTTTAAGGCGATTGGGCCTCATGCTGTCAGTACTTAAAACTTTCATACCTATCACAATGTAACTCGTCTTTTTCTATGAAGGTAAATCCAAACTTAACGTAATCTTCGGAAAACTTTCTTTTTTCGCTGCCAATAACAATAAAACAAATAAGTAATAAATAAATAAGCAAAATACCTACATATAATTACTAGGTGTTATATGTCCATTATATTAACGAAATGTATTCAACAGTATATTGGTAACCGGGAGATTTATATCTTTATAGGCAGGTTGACGTTATAATAGTAAAATTTTAAATACATTCGGAATCAATATTAGGTACTTAAAGTTCGTCGTTGCAAAATTATTTCGCCACGTTCGTTTGATTGTGACGTGGTAAAAAAAACCCAATGGCCGATCTATGAACGCGTCTCCACTCAATCAACAGTTTAGTAAATTAAATAAAAATGGTAACCGAAGTTTGTAAATACACAAACTTACTTTTAACAGTGAGACACAATAATTTGACACACTCAAAAAATTTTTCGTAAGTTTGTGGGAATGAATGTCACAGATGCTCATTCGCGTCTGGAAGGTACACAATATTGTTTTCTAACGGTGGTTTGCACCGCTTTGGGTTAAAGGTGAGGGTTACTTAACTCGGAGTTAGCGGTAACCCCAGGTTAAATTCGAGTAGCTTTGCACCGTCAAGGTTTAACTCTGAGTTTATAAACCCCGACTTTTGGTCATGTTGGCAAGCTTGGAATATAGGGATATTTCTTAGAATTAATACATTTATTGGTAATATTGCCACAAAGGCTAGTTCTGTGCTAAAAGTTTGTTGATTTGTGCTGGGATTTGAAATACTCACGTAATTTTTGACATTTTAGTACTTGTGTTTTGTATTCTGTTTATTTGCTATTTTTCGGATATCGTTTGTGTTTGATTTGGCTGGATAGGTATATATATATATATACTAAGTGACATATAATTCCAAACACCCAGTTTAAATGGTTTTATTTTAATAAAATTTTGTATAAGTACTTAATGAAGCATAATAAGTAAATGATAAAAATTTCAAAATGATCGCACTGCTTTAAAGCCCTTTGACCTTTAATAATGTGTGGATGCACCCTGATGTGCTACGCATTCGCCAATGCACCTAGGCATGCTTCTGATCAGGTGGTCAATGTCCTCCTGTGGTATCTCATTCCAGGCAACCACCAACTCCTCTCGAAGTGCTTCTAGAGTCTGAGGAGGACGTTGCAAATTGAGCAATCTTCCTACCCATCATATCCCACACGTGCTTAATTGGAGATAAGTCGGGAGATCTTGGTGGCCATGGTAACAATGTGACATCATTATGTTGAAAGAAGTCTATTGTAACTCTTGCAACATGTGGTCGGGCATTATCTTGTTGGAAAGTTGGATCTGCCAGGGTGTCAAGATAGGGTAAAAGATGGGGTTCTAGAACTTCGTGGATATAACGCTGCGCGTTCATGTTACCTCTGATAAAGATTAAAGGTGACCTGGAACCATAAGCTATAGCACCCCAAACCATAACTCCAACAGTGTGATGAACATGTCTTTCAACAAAAAACTGTGGATTCCTCCTTTCACCACGTCGCCTTCTAACCCTGGCACGACCATCGTGCATGCCTAAACAAAATCGAGACTCATCACTAAAGACAATACTGTTCCATTCCTGATCCCAGAGTGACCGTTGTCTGCACCACTCAAGGCGATTATGTCGATGTTCTCGAGTTAAAGGGAGGACCCTGTGTGGTCGGTATGAAAACAAGCCAAAACTTCTCATTCATCGGTAAACACTTCGCATGCCAAGGTCTTCCGTGTTCTGCAAACCATTCATTTGCAATGGACCTGGTAGTGGAGAAACGGTCCCTTAAGGCCAATAATCTTAGGCGGCGATCTTCACGGTCTGTTGTTCTACGGCGGCGTCCAGTGCCCCTTGCTCTTTGCGTACGGCCTTCTCGAAGCCATGCCTGACAACACTTAACCACAGTGTCTATCTACACTTCTTTGCACTCTAACTGCAATTGCCGAAAAGAAAGTCCAGCTTCCCGAAGTCCCACTATACGGCCCCTATCAAACTCACTAAGTTGATGAAATCGTACAGGTCTCCGTACTCTAGGCATGGTAACCGATCGTAAAGGATGTGAAGAACCAAAATCCGCCAACGTTGATTGCGGCTGAAATATTCATTTTTAGAGCGTTAGTGAATTAAAAAAATGCAGTATAAAAACAGGAATGTCCAACTGATAAGGCTATAAATTTTTTCACTTGTTATTTACTGTAAGATAAATACATTCACCAACTTTCATTAAAATAAAACCATTTAAACTGGGTGTTCGGATTTATATGTCACTTAGTATACATTGCCACTTTTTGTCTCTTGTCTTCCAGCATCAATTTCATTTCTTCTTAAGGATGCCATATTGGATTCTGATTCCAAAAACATTGACATAGCCAAAACCTTAATTATTTCAAAATTTAGGTATGCCTTGAAATTATCAGATAGTTGTTTCGCATATCGGATATATTACAAAATCACTAACTCATGTTTTTCCCTGACTTTATTTGAGATGGGATTTCAAAATAAATTGCATGTTCTCGTTGTTACTTATTCTCCTCTACCAGACGGTTTAGTTAAATGTTCGTTTCGACATTTCTTCATTCGACTTGGAATTTTGTTACATTTAAGTGGAATTTCAGTCCTAAAATTCAGTGATGCAGTGATACAGTTGGCTATGAATTTGTTGTTTGATGAAAATTATAAGGAAATAAAAAGGAATAGTCAAATCTGAAAACAAAATGAAAATGTTATTGATAGCAATCGCAATAATGATAATAAATTGTCAGAGATAAATCAACAGATGTCCGTTATTTTGTAGGCAACCCTTCTCTGTACATTGTTCACTGCTCGATTTATTTTTCTTCTCTTCAGTATTCCAAGCTCAGTTGCTATGTTCAATTTAAAGTCTGGACTGGTTTACGAATAAGTCACGAAAAATCTACGGTGTAAAAAATAAGGACCTGCTTTACCCATTTGAAAAACAAAACGAAGTGCGGTAAAACAGCAGGGAAAATGTAAAAAAGAAACTAGGTAATCATTTGGTCAGGAATTTCACTATCCTATCACATGTTTTGTTCGTAAATGTGGTTTGAAGTAGTCTACGTTCGATGCAAAAACATAGATTTGTTACGTTTTTCCTAACTAATTCGGGGCTATCTAGTTCTTCTATGGTGTCCACCTCGACAGCCTTTGTACGACGTAGACAAACCTACCAAGTTCGGAAAGGAAACATCCAGGAAAATGATCTGAGTACACTATCGGGAGAATCTTGAAGATACCGTAAACTTACATCAAATCGATAACTTCCTTATTTCTAAGGGAACGTGCTATATACGTTTCTTTCAAATACGTTTTGTAAATGAACAAATAGGTTAGTGAGCCTACACACCGCGTGGCGCCTTATTTGGATACTCACGTCGCACGGGTCGCATATTTTCACGTTATTTGCTGGGCCGGGCTAGCCTATTCAGACTTTTTCGAAAGGGCCCCGTACAGAACATATGGAAAATGCGTCCCAGTCGATTTACCTAAGAATTCAGTATGGTGTATTTTTTGCCTTCCTGGACAAAAGTTCTCATGGGTAAAATAAATGCGTATACGAGATAGATAGGTACAGACTGAAATGAACATGGTTGGCTTGGGAAAATATTGGTAGGTGGTAATTGTCAGATTTTCATCTACTTGCGCACTTTAAAGCTTTCTGATGGTCATACTCGAAGTCAACCTTCTGGAATAGATCAGTGTACCGAGTTTCGTTTACTTATAGATATGAAGGCCGGATGCATTGTGAATTTTCACCAAAAGCCCTTTCTATAGTGAAAGGGAGGTATAGATGATGCCAGTTTTGCGCTGAAACCGATACAGGAAAGCAAACAAAAATTCTTTCGCATTTGTCTATAATTTCAGAAAGCATTCATTTAGATTAAATTGCTGTCTTTCATGAATTTTGTCGCATTGGAGCGCTTAGCCAGATCATAATGAGGAAAGCCTGCTCTGTGTCTGAAATAGTGGATTTGTGGTTGTACTTATCTAATTACTTTTTTCATCTTAAACCACGTCCTATTATTTTCTTTTAATCAGTTCGAAGGTTGCAATGAACCACCGAAAATCAAGTTGTGCGGTCGATTCGAACCATTTACGGCACGGCCAACATTTACATAATGAATTGCAATTCATTTCGATAGTACCTAAAAACTATCATAAACAGCAAAATTAGATTAACTCAAAGTAAAAAATGATGTCAAGTAGATTGACTCTATTCTTTCCACGCCTTCGACGCAACTTCTAATACAATTTCCCATTTAGTGCAATGATATCAAAAAGACCATTTCAAGAAATGTCCAATCTTTCGATATGGCCATATAGATTATAAAAGATATTAACAATAATAACAATAACGTTTATTGTTAAAACAAAATAGTATAAATAGATGAAAGGAAATGGCATACAATAAACGAAAGGACCCAAAAAAGTTTCGGAGAAACTTGTGCTTAAGCATGAGCTCATATACCTATATATTACTCAAGACTAAAATGTATAAGATTTATTAGACAGGTCCTGGTTAAGTTTTTAAAAGACACAACCGGGACGGAGACGCAAAATCGGGACGCAATTGGGAGAAAGACAATATTGAAACAAAAGTCAATATTAGAACGAAATTGGTAAAAATAAGTATTAAAATGCAATAATTTAAAGACAAGAATTCATGTTGGCTTGATTTATACATTATTAATTTTTTTTTCATTTTGAGTTCCAATAATTTTGAAAGAGACTTCCGTTTTCAGTAGAAGTAGATATTTTTTATATCAATCGCTTGATAAATCTTTAGCCTAGGCTGTGCCAAAATACATAATATTAGATACATTTTCATAGCTTTGGTA